CTGGGGCAAACACGGGTTTCGAATTTCTGACGCACGTGCCTTTCGGAGCCAGGTCATGTTTGTGGCCGGCTCTCCTCGGGCCCCGGCCGTGCGGCCGCAGGCCCGGGCCGGGACGGGGACGCGGGAGCTTGCAGTGCGCCCGGTTTTCGGTTTGACCAGATGGTGTGGGGACCCAAGAGTGTAACATGTTACTAATATATATATATATGTATATGTATATATATAATATAATGAGATAATATATATATATATATGTAACATATGTATGTGTGTAGTCCCCCCCGAGCACTAAAGGGAACCTGACCCAGTTGCACAGAACGAGAAGAACCCAAATTGCTTTTGGCAGGAGGCGGCGGAGGAAGGGGGAGGGTTGGGGAAGCTGGGAAATTAACTGCGCTTCTCACGGGGGCTTCAAAAGGAGTTTGAACGACTGACATCTCACACACTTGGTGGTGGAGAAAGAAGCGCCAGCAGGCGGCCGCGCTTGTTGTTTGTCACGCATTTGGCAAGTTTACACGTCTAGTTGTAGCTGGCTGGCCAATATTACTGGCGTCCGAATCGCTAAAACTCCCCCCAAGGTGCAAAGGGAGTAATTTGGGTTTTGGGGTTGGGTGGGCACCTAATCCTATTGGTGCTCCCTGTTAGTGGTGAGGGGATTCACCCAAGATATGTATACACATACATAACATATACATATACATATATATATATATACACATAAACTACATGTGCCACAAGGCACCTGTGTGATCTACATCTTGTTGTGACTTTCCTTGCCCGGCGAGTTTTCGAGGCTTCTCGGCAGTTCCAGAGTTATACACTTTCTGGCCTTGTAAGACTTTCCAGACTTTTCAAACTTTTCAGACTTTCTGGGTGTTGCGCAGTCTCAAAGCTTAAAGTCTTCAAAGTCTTCCGTTTGAAACTCTGAAAGTCTCACAAGTCCCCCAAGTCCGGCAAGTCTGAGAAATCTCAAAGTCTGCAAAGCCTGAACAGCTTGAAACATTTGGACAGGCTGGTTTCCACCGTGAAGGAACAATTCCCCCCGTTTTGACACCCACCCATTTGAGCCAAGCCCGCTCCTTCACTGCGTATGCCACGCCACGCAGGGCCTGAAAGACGCGGCCGCCGCCCCGGCCTCTGCGGCCGCAGGGGGCAGCGGGGCAGCCCAGCGCACGCATGATGCTTACACGCGTCATCTGGCCGTGGGTCAAAGATGAGTACCCAAAACGGGTTGCCCTGATAAATGGACACATGGCCCCATGTTCCCATGGGTGTGATTTGTTGTATTAGATGGCTGATGTTCAAGGGGCTGTGGAAGGTTTCGGTTGTTTCACTATGCTCTTCGCGTTGGTTTATGGTGCTTCTCGAAGAGTTTTGCAGGACTGAGGAGTTTTTGTTTGCTCTCTTTGTTTTGTGTGAGAGGACTTCGCTCCAGGAAGTGAAGTCGTGTTGTCCGAAGCTGCTTCCCCAGCCATTTTGGACCTGACAAGTACAACTTGCAACGTGCAAGAGCAGCGAATAGCGTGTAGACTCACATTCCACGCGCCTTGTCTAAAACTAGAGGTAAAGGTGGCAAGCAAGAAGACGAGCAGCAACAACAAGCAACGAAGCCTGCAGAAGCACGCAGGCAGAAGCAAGCAGAGGGCAGAAGCAAGCAGAAACTGAATTGAGCGGGCAAGCTGGCAAGCGAGCCAGCGAGCCTGGTTGACAGGAAACCTAGTTGAGCCTTGTCGCCGCTTTGGATTCGCCGGCTGAACCCTTGGCGCCCCTTGAGGGGCCGTCATGGGCATCCGAACTGGAGCTGTGCTTTGCTTCGCGTGTCTTCTGGCGGCGGCGCAAGATGACATCTCTGTGGTGGTGAGCCGCGATGTCTTTGACAAGCAGTTCCGAGGCCAGGCGGGTTCAAAGGGACCGGATGAATTTGTGCCAAGATGTTTGGGCCCGTTTTTTGCAAACCAATCCAAATCACCAATTAGAGGGAAGCTGACTGGTGTCAGATCACGGCCTAACCCGGCCGTTTGACGTTTCCAGGACAGAGCTTTGACACCTGGGGGGACTTTGTGGAGGCAGCCGGTGAGCAGAACAACCCAGGCGTGACGCCGCGACACATGGGGAGACGTGTAGTATGTCTCAACATGAGACCCCCAAAATGGTGCTTGGTGTTCACCACCCTGGGGAACCTTTTTGCTATTTTTACTAGCCCCGGTCGGGGGACTGGTTGGTTGGTTGGTTGGTTGGCTGGTTGGTTGGTGCTCAGCTGGGCGGCTGCATCCCCAGCATCCCCAGCATCACCTCTCTCGGACTAGGGCTGCCTATTGGCATTGATTTGTTGGCAGTTCAGAGTTGCTCCGGAAACACTCACCCGAAACCAGCCCGGAACAACTCTGAACTGCCAACAAATCAAAGCCAATAGGCAGCCCTAGTCCGAGAGAGGTGATGCTGGGGATGCTGGGGATGCAGCCCACGGCCAACTAGGCCCCCAGAGAATACCATGGGGACGGCCTTGTGCTGAGCCGGGGCTAGTAAGAAGCCGGGGCTAGTAAAAAAAACACCTCAACCCCACCCTGGTTGATTAAGGGTGGCCCTGTTAGAGGGAGGCCTTTATTATTTTAAAAGAAAGCTTTGGGGTATCTGCGCTTCTGGGAGGGTTGGAGGGTTCCGGCAAGGTATTGGGGAACGAAGTCTTGGCCGATGCTGTTGAAAAACTCCTTCATTCTGGACACAGAGAGGGATTGTGAGGCACTGGGCCAAATCCCATTTCTTTCGCTTGAAAGCCGGGCCTTGGCCCGCTCTTTCGTCGCAGGGGGCGAGGCGAGACTGAAGGCGGGCGAGTTCTCGTTGCCGGGCGTGGCCGGGGAGGGTCCCCCCCAACAGCTCAATTTCCTCGATTTACGTGGTACACATTTTGGTGTTTGCGTGGGGGAAGATGAAGGTGAGTGTTGGTGTTGGAATCAGAATCCATGCTCATGGCACCATTGTCAGCTGCTGGCTTCTTACTCCTCTTGAGCTTGCAGAAATATGTACTCAGCACCGAAAGGGGCACTGTCCAGGCTGGACTTGGGGCCCTTTTACCACGGACGGAAAGGAGTCACCAAATTGGGACGCACTATTCACGAAAGCTAGCTTTAGCTAGCTGAAGTTTCTCCTTGCGTAAGCAAGGTAAGGGGCTCAAATGCCGAAAGATTGATTTTTTCAATTATTTGAGCCGAAAAGATTGAAAAATATCAATTATTTAGACCCCCCCCCCCTCCCCCCCCCCCGGGTCTCAGGCTCGATTCCTCCCTGGTCCATCCCCCCCCCCCCGGGCAGTGGCTCAGTGTTCAGCAGTCTCGGTTTGCCCGTTTTGGACTTGGTGCTACGAACTTTTACATGTTCCACCGATTCAGCTTGTTCACTTGAGACCTCAGTCTTCTCGGTAAACCACCTCGCAAGAATCTTTGCACACGCTGCATGCAGAACCCACAGGTGCTTTAAGACAGCTTCTGACGCCTCTCGTTGTTTTCATTTTTCAAGGTTTGCCACGCCACCATGTGCGTTTGCGTGTCGCATCCTACGAATCTTGCCGGGCCTCTCGTTGTACACAAGCTACCTATGAATCCACTCTGTCACCGACCCATCTCATGCAACAACTGCTAGCTTTCGTTCACCCGCTCCTCAAGTTTTGTTCAACCTCGTGATTTTGACCGTGGCTCATATGAAAACCGTCCCAGAACCCTTTTGACACATCAGGAGTCTCCACAAGGCTTGGAAACATGGGGTCATACTCACCTGCAGATCAACAAGGACCCTCTAAGCCCTCATTCGCAGAGAAAGCTGTTGTTTTTGGGTTCCACGTGAGCTTGCCGGGAAGCAACATTTAAAGGGACACCAAAAGGACAACCACCATGTTGGGAGTCCACTAAGAAAAGACGCACCCATATCCCAAATGAGAGCCTTGACTCAAAGCACCCCAGGTATGAGCTGCCACCAGGAGAGTGCAGCTGACATGTGGGCAGCCGAAATGCTTGTCTCCGAAGGAGCATTTGTGAAGGCAATTATTGATAATCCGTTCCCCCTAGGAATAAAGGTCTCCCTAATAATAATAATAGATAATTGTTTCAGAAGTCCCAAATCCGGGAATACTACTCAATACTTACTCAAATCCAGCCCCATTAGGGGGACCCGGGAGCACGTTTCCTTTTCTACGGTTGTACTACAAAGTTGCGACTTTCGAGCCAGAGCTCCGGGAGCACGTTTCCTTTACGGCTGTACTACAAAGTTGCGACTTTCGAGCCAGAGCTCCGGGAGCACGTTTCCTTTACGGCTGTACTACAACGTTGCGACTTTCGAGCCAGAGCTCCGGGAGCACGTTTCCTTTACGGCTGTACTACAAAGTTGCGACTTTCGAGCCAGAGCTCCGGGAGCACGTTCACCAGATGGCTACCGTGCAGGCGTGCCGTAGATTCAAACGTCTCTCTGTCTCTCGCTCTCGCTCTCGCTCTCTCTCTCTCTCTCTCTCTCTCTCTCTCTCTCTCTCTCTCTCTCTCACTTCAAAAAGGTCCCTTTGTGTGATCCAAAACCCGCAGGCAAAAACAGCAAAACATGACCTCAGCTCCCGCTACTTAAATTCCTTACTCGGAAATGTACGTGTGATGCGATTTTTCAGACCGGAACAGGGGGACCGCAGTTGCAGACACCCCTAAAAAATGTTTTGCTGGCCGGGATGTTTTTTTAAATAGGGGGGGGGGTCGTTTATTATTAGGGGGAAGGGATTCTTCATATCTCAGTTCGTTACATCCGCAAAAACGGGGCATTGTCCAATGCAAGCCTTATGTATCGCCATCCCCAACACCACCCAAGTTGAGCACTCAAGTTTCGGGTACACTCAAAAGAATGCAGCACATATTCCATGATGAAGCAAATTGAGTACAAGCCGGTTAAATGAGGGATCCTCACAGCCGTGAGTTTCGTTGAACCACAAGCCAAACAGGGTCCATCTCCAATTCCGTCGCCGAGTCTAGGCAGGCTTCGCCATGCTCTTCGCTGCCTTGGCCACGGTCACGGTGGGCCTTGTGTCCACCTTCGTGCTGAAGAACGAGGTGACGAGTTCCTTTCATTTGCATTACAGGCAAAACATATCTCCCCTGTTGGCCCTACTAGACACAAGTTGTATTTTTGCCAGGGGATTTAGTTGTCAGAATGAAGCCAATGCAAACAAAGCGCCTGAAGTGACCAGCGGAAACTGGTTTGTTTGATTTTGCTCGTGTTTGATACAGTTTGGGCTTCGGTGGACTGCTTGGTGCTTTAGAATGCACTTTGAATGGTTTGTTCCGGTGGGAGATTTTGGGACTGTGTCAAGACATCCAGTTTGACCCCAGGTATTTTCATGCTGACTTCCTATGCCCGCGCAGTGGATCGCAGTTGGCACTTTGGCAACCAGCCATTTTCCTTCCGGTTTTAAAGGTTTACCCCTTGGTTACTGACTATGGAGTCACTGGGACACATAGAGCCAGTTGACCCGCTGCCCGTTACCGGCTTCCTTGTGTTTGGCGCTTTCTTTCGGATTTGTGGATCCCACGGCTGGTCAGAATCGAGTGGCACTCAGTGTGGGAATACTTGACGCACATGTATGTAAGATATGTCATGTATGTCTGTATATCCACATTCACATATTCTATATTTACAAAAACAAATGCTGGGAGTCCGCGTGCAAACAGGTGCCTTGCTTTCATGGGCGCTCTTCGTTTTGAGAAAGCCTTGTGCAGAAACTTTAGTCGGTGCCCCTACCCCGTTCAGGAAGATCCTAAGAGGAATCATCTTTTGAGAGACCCCCCGTTTTGGGTTCCACGTTCACTTTGCAGGGAGTACTATCGACCCAGGTTGAACCAACCTGGTGGATTATTCGAGGGGTGTTTCCTCCAGATGAGGGCACTGCCCTTTGGTTGGATGTCTGGGAAGCACCAATGGCGAGACAACAGATAGTCTTGCAGCGCATCTCTGTTAAATTTTGTGATTGGAGGGAGGGCAAAAGCACGCATGGTGGCAACGACTGGATGCAGGTAGCATGTCTCTTGGGGAATGCTTCGGGCACGTTTTGTTTTCGCGCGCTTGATGCCAGGTGTGCGCTCCTTTCCACTATTGGCTGGTCTTCCTTATCCTCATGGGCTACGTGCCGCGCTCAATGAATCACACAGAAGGAAATCCTCGGCTCCCGTAAACGCCCGGCCCGCTTAGGGCCCTGCATAGCCATGTGTCAGAACTACTCGACGACTGCCAATCTCACCAACATGTTCACGAATATCTTTACTTAAATCAATCCTTGTTGTACTTGCACCCATACTAATTGAGTTTAATCTTTCCACTTGCTCTTTCAATATGCTATTTTCTTTATTAACCATGTCATGCTTATCTTCCAATTCTTTAGTACTTGTATTGCTTGGCTTTTCAACTTGTTTTGAGCTTAGAACGAGGCACCGAAGTCAATGGGTTCATTTGCAGGCAGATGGGGCGTTTCGCCCACCATAAGCAAAGATAAGCGAGCAAGAAGTGCGTTCTTTTGCCCTTCACGCCATTGACTTCATGGGACACACGCCTTTTGACAGATGGTCATCATGACAAAGGCAGCGTGCATTGAAGCAAGGGCAGGGTATGGATCGGTGTGGATTCATACATTCAACCTGTTAGTTCTAGCACACTTTCGCATGTGCTGTTTTTCATCTCCGTCTCAGCGGATCCCCTTTGCTGGCATGTCAATTGTAGATTTTGCATTTAGAGTTGTGGGTTGGCTGCCTAAGGTCAAAGTCTTTCCTCGATAGATCTAAATTGGATTTATTTATTTTTTTTACGCGAGCCAAAGCCAAGCCTAGGCACTTGGAGCTTAGGCCTAGTCGGGGGCATTTCAATAGAAGTGGCCACCCTTGCGATTCTTTGTCTGAGCCATGGTCAAACGACCTGCTTGGGGCTGGTATGGTCATCAACCCTTCAGCATGGATTTGGAAAACGCTTCCCGCTTATAATTGACGTTCTGCGTCCCATCCTTTTGGCCTGGCGGGGGTTTCCGGGGGGGCTTGAAAAGCTTAGTTTTACGCAGAGCATACAGTGCCATTTCGTTCCGGCCCCGGCTGCCTGGCCCTGAAGACCTGAGCGGCTTTCTTCTTGCCTCTGCAATCTTGGCACTCATCTCGGGAGACGACAAACAACCACAGAGGGGCCACTGCTTCTCACACGCCTCGGAGCGCGGGGCTCCTCCGCCGGATCCTCGTCAAAAACAGGCGAGCTAGGAGGTAGTCGCACGCGCTGCCAGCTGCACTGCACTCAATCACTCCAAGCCACGTCCGAAAAGTTCTTCTGCCTCTGCAGGCCTCCAGCAAAGGTCTGTCACCCTCCAGAGCTCAGAGACATCATGCCGTCGATGTGCTTCCAATTGCAAGAGGATGTCACAAAAGGAGTTCGCAGTCCCTTTCTATGGCTTTCCCTTTTCCAACACACCAGAGCCTGAACAGAAACGACATCATGTTCCTGTCTGCCAAAAAGGACATGTAACTGCAAAAGCCGGTCAACTCTGAAGCATGAACAAAGCACGCCATGCTCAAAGACACTGGCGTCAAATATTAACAAAAATAATTAGGGGTTCCTTCTTTGTTTTCTTTTTTGCGGCAGGAACTCATCAGGGCTTCCTTATTTATGGCTAGGCATGAGGAGCACCCAAGTGGATTTCAGTTTTAGTTAGGCTTGTGGGCCCGGGTTAGCTAATTGCATAGTGGTTAGCAGTTTGGCCTCTGGTTCTCATAGACGCTGAATGGAGGAAAATCCCTCCTTAACCACTAAACCAGCCAAACCAATTGGGGAAGCTGATTTAAGGTTCCCCACAAACCGAATCTACTTGTTTGGGCTCTGAAAACGAAAGATGTAAGGCAGCCGCGGTCTTTGCCTTCTGCATCCGGTACTTCGATGACCCAGCCTATCGCGTGGTGACGAACCTCCTGCGGCTTGGATCCGGAAGGGCGCAGTTAAGGTGCAAGCTGCAAGGATAGATGCCTCGCTTCTGGTTTGGGAGTTCGGGAGCCCTGTTAATAGACTGCTTGAAAAAAAGGGCTCCACTCTTTAGTGGAAGCTCGCTCGGGATGGGTTTTCGGAGAACGTAGACACCCGCTAAGTTTTTGCTCATCGCCGGATGTTCATCCCTGAAGTCGTTTCTTTACCTGGGCCCTGCAGGGAATATACCGGTATATACCAAACCGGGCTACATATGGCTAAATGTTGGGGTGTTTCAGATTGGATGCAGTGGTGTGTTGGGCTTGTTTTAATGGACAGCCAAGAAAGGCAGGGCACAGATCGCGGTTCCCCGATTTGAGACAAAGCCGGCTGCAAAAATTACTTGCCATTCGTTTGCCGTGAGGCTACCACGGACTCAATGCTTGTTGGAGGTTGGGGCACGCACCCAACGCCAGTTGCACCTTTTGACAGACAATGTAGGTGGCAATTTGAACATTCCCATTTGTTAGCTGTGTGGTGTGCATGAGCGTCAGCACATATGCTCTTTGTTTGTTGCCACGGACAAAATCCCAGCTGATCCTCAGATTGAGGTGCGGTTCAGCGGGCCTGAGCTGAACAGGGGAAGAAAGCTTGGGAGTGAGTTGAATAGGAGACCCTTTGGTCGGCAGCATTTCTGAGGTGGTTCCCCATGAAAACTGGAACTGATGCGACACTGTTAAGCCCGGCCACAGGGTATGTCCAGGGATTGGGGGCGCATAGATGCTTCGGCGTCCCCGAACAGTGATCCGCATCAACAGGAAATCGCCCTTTGGTCCAGTCCCCCGGTCCCTTCTCAAGGTGGAAGTGAAGCCCTCCTATGCACTTCCATGTGTGTGTGGGGGAAGAATTTGGGACAGGTCTGGAAACCACCCTCCGTACCATAAACAGGCACTGATCAACTGGGTCACGTGAGACATGGAAACCACCCTCCGTACCATAAAATTCACTGATCAACTGGGTGAGCTGAATCACAGTTCGGAGGTTCGGCCTAGTGCCTTGGAACGTGAGCGTCGCCTGCTACCTCTTGGTCTTCCTGCTCTTCGATTGCGTCAGGCTTGGGCCTTCGCGTGACGCGGGCTTCGTGAAAGGTGAAGCGTGCCTTTTCTTTGCGGGTACCCCCTTCACCTTGGTTTAAGGGCAAAAGAAAAACATAGAAAAACCAAGATCATTTTGGCACATGCCCAAATGGGACTCGGACCCAGGGATAATTACTACCATTTGTAAAGTGTTGTTTCTGCTTCCAGGTTCTGAATTGGACATATGGGGGAACGGAACCAAGACACCGCAAGTGAACCCAAGCGATCTCTACATGCCCACTGACAACACAACACACATGAGCTTGTGGCAGCTGAAAGCTTTGGCATCCGCAGATGCGGAGCGCTTCGGCGGGTGCTTTCGGGTTGCGGAAAGGTTCCGGGCTTGTTGTTGGATACCGAGCGATACCGCTTTTGGGAAGTTCTGACACATGCTGCATGTGTTCTCTACCTCAAAACGGGGCATCCCAGACCCCATAGGGGGGGGGTTGCTATACAGACCCCCGGTACGACTCGTTGTTGGAAGCCGAAAGACATCCGGATTTTGTTACAAGTTGGTGCCTCGTTTTGGGAAATAGTAAAGTCCCAAGCCAATGCAGGTGTCAGGCACTGGGGTCTGAAGACGCGTTGGAACCGCTTTTTGTTTGTTTCCGTTTCTATGTTTTTCTTCTTATGATGGGTTGACGAACTTCACAGCGGTTGCTTGGTGGATTTCTGTATCTGTGACGTTGTCAATCAGGATTTCTAAAAAAGAATGGAAAGGCTTTGCGTTTCACCCTCCCGAAAACAAACATGAACCCTGACTGGTTCCATTTGCAACATTTTCTCCCCAAAAAATGCGGGCCCCGAGGGGGCACTACCAAGCCAGCAAGAGTTAAAGAAATCAGTGTACTCGAAGCAACCCGCAGTGGGCTAGTGATTCGGTTTTCCTTTGGTTTGCGCTCGCTTGAAACCTCAAAGTGGGGGGTTTCCAGTTCTCTTGGAAGCATCCATAACCCACAGGAAACGGACTCTTTGCTTTTGGGGGGAAGCGCCAACCAGTTGAAGAGCCTGGTTTGGACCCCCCAAATGGTACCAACTCGAAGAAGCAGATGCTCAAACAGTGGAAGTGTCTCCTGCATGGACAGCCACCCTTATGGACCAGTGGGGCTCCTGACATGGTTTGAAACTTGGTTCGTCTCATTTGAGGCACCCCCAAAACGGCTGGTTTGTTGGTTTTCTTTGTTTTTTGACCAACCAAAACTACGACCTTGCCCCCCCAAAGCAAAATCGAGCCCTTTTCCGCATGGCCACTAGGGGCCGAGTCGTCTCGTGCCAGGGGCACGGGCGGCCGTCCCGAGGCGGGTGGTTTGAGTCAGTCAGCTCAGTTGCTCAAACGGATCGACCCTTTTGTGGGATCTCGTTTGAAGTTGTTTGCCAGTTGTTTTGCCAGATCGACAGAATATAGACCGGAATCAAACATGTTACTATCGGTTGGGGCATGAGGTATGTTTGTTGATTTCCAGAGCTGGCGCTTCAGGGGAGCAGCCCTGTACAAGCCGTTTGGTCATATACTCAAGATGTTGGTGAGCAAAGGTTCCCATGTAAAAATGATGCCCAACAAAGGGTTGCCAAGTAAGACTTGAACCCTTGTGTGTTTTGCAGACTTGCAAAGAAGTCCGTGGGAGCCAGCCACATAAATTTCTGACCTGCTGGAGATAGCCCATCCTTTTAGTCACATGTTTGTAGTTTGTACCATTTCACTTCAGGGAGAAGGTTCTTCAAGGTTCCTTCTATTTGAGGGTGCGTTTTTAGTCAGGCTATCTTTCTGTTTCAGCAGGAACCACAGGGGCAACCCTCCTTTTGCGGAGCTTCCCCACTTGGAGACCAACCTATTGGTTTGGAAATCTATGAGGTCCCGACAGGCGCGGCTTGAAGAATTTGCCCATTAGACTGCCATGATTTCCCAACAAATGCAAGTGGAGAGCAGCAAGCTATAGGCAAAGTGCAAGAGTCTAAGAGGGCTCTTATTATCAAACACTTGTGCCCCTAACTCGCACTTGCAAATAGTTCAGGCTGTCCTTTGAATGGTATGTCGAACTTTCGGTTCAGTCTCTCAACTTTGAATGCCTTGGGGCCCTGGCACACATACAAAGATTGGTGTTAGTGTCTATGCCCCTGCCAGGCTAGCTCTCAACTCAATCCGCCTTTCAGCGCAGGGGTTTCGGAGCAGAAAGATCAAGTCGATCCGTGCACATCACGGCCAAAAAAGGGACTGCCCGGTTTTTCGAGGGTGCCACGAGAGCCACAAGCCTCATCTCAAATGTTGGACCTTGTTTAGTGTGCCTCCACCCCCCCTTCCCCTCAACAGTCAAACCAGTGCTCAGGGGTCCTGAATAGGGGTCTGGCAGGGAGCTTGGATGACTTAAGCATTGCTTTTGTATTGCCACTACTTAGTTTATTGCAAGCACTTCCTGTTGGATTGCCAGAACTCAGTTTAGTATTGCTTAGTCTAAGTTTAGTATTGCCAGAACTTACTTTTAGATTCCCAGTGCTTGGTTTAGTATTGCCCAGATTATATGTGGTATTGCCAGGACTGGCTGTTAGATTTCCCAGTACTTGGATAAGGACATCAGAGAAGACCCCTAAACAGTCATACTAAAGAGGATCGCTGGCTCGTGTGGGCATGGCTGATTGGGCTTGCTCTTTTTGTTGGTTAAAACAAAACAATAAAATATAGATTTAAAGCAGAAGAGAAAATAGATACGTGATGTTAAATTTGATGGTTTGGGAGTTGAGGGCCGACACCATGCACCGCCTTGCCCTGTGGCTCACTGTACAGAACGTAGCCCATGAGCAAGACAAGCACTACAAGGTTCGCAAGCAGGAAAAGACCGCTGTTTGGCCTCTTTGCTTTCATTTTCACCTGGTAGCGGAGCCATGTGGCTCTTCGTCGCCGCCATGGTTCCGGTGCTTTGCACCAAAGCAGATCCCCCTGCGAGCCCCGCATCTGAGCCCACTGTGGGGCTGCAGGCCGAGCAGTGTGCAGGCCGTCCAGCCCGCCGTGCAAACCTCTTGGTCCCTGCACCCTGCAGTGCAGCAAGATGCGAGTGTTTGGGACCCAATGGCCGAAGCGGATGCCTTGGCCCGCCTTTCGCATGCCACCGTGCTCTTGTGTATCTGCCAGCAGCCCTCGCGAATGTGACTAGGCAGAACTCAGACATGTTATTTGCATAGCTGTCGAAAAGCTTCCTGGCTGATCTGGCTGGACATGTTCAGAGCTTGCTGCAATTGGTTGAGGTAACCCTGGGCTGACCATCCACGCATGGATGCCAGCGCGCTGAACGGGCTTTGGGAAGCCACAAAAGTGCTGCTGCAAGGCGCTGTTGCAGGGTGCTGTTGCAGGGCGCTGGCACAGACCGAGACTTAAGTTGCGCCGGGTGCTGTTGCAGGGTGCTGTTGTGCTGTTGCAGGGCGCCGAGACTCAGAGTTGAACACAGGATGCTGCTGCAGAAGGCTGTTGCAAGGTGCTGCTGCAAGGTGCTGTTGAAGGGTGCTGCTGCAGACCGAGACGTGGAGTCCCATGGGCAACCCCCTTTGTGTGAGTGTTTTCGGCAACAATTTCTCAAGAAATTGTCTTAAATTTGATGGTTTGGCGCCCCCATGATTCAAGGGTTGAGCTGGGAAGAGCTTGTTTAGGTGAGCCGCCCTTGTACTGTGAAAGGCTAAGCAAGGCTTTTATCTGAATTCAAGCAACCCCCCCCTCCCCACACCAAAAAAAGAAACGAAATCAATTAGTTGGACGCTAAAAAGGACCCCCCCAACGGACACAATAAAGAGGATCAGGGCCTCCCGTGGGCAATCCCCCTTGTGTCATTGTTTGCCTCACTTTTTTGTAAAGAAAATATCTTGCATTTGATGGTTTGGGGACCACGTCAAAAAAGATTTCCTAAATGTTTGCCCAGAGGTGTTTGCCCGTTTTTGTCAGATGTTTTTTGCCAGTTGTTTTTTTGCCCAGATTTTTTCCCAGCATATTTTTCCGGCAAGAACTTGTCACAATTGAGGACCACAAAGCAGTCACGGGATCCTGAGTTACGGAGAACGTTTTTCACAGTACAGGGTGCTGGCATTGAAGCTTGTCCAACATCATCTGGGGAAACATAAATTTCCATTGTTTGCTTGGATCTAGTTGCCCGGTGATCTTTTTGCCCGATTTGTTTTGCCTGTGCTTTTGCATGGAATGATTTCCGGCAACAGACACTTGACGTAAATCATGGTACCAAAGCAGTGGGGGGGAGGCAGGTCGCTTTTAGGCCGAGGACACTTGACAGAAATCAGGGTACCAGTATTGAACCAGGTGCTACAATAGAAAATATTTGGATGTGGTTTTTGTGGATCCACCCCTGCAGGATTTAAAAAAGTATCAACAGATTACTAATAAAGGACCAACAGGGGAATGACAGGTGACATCCGCAAGAAACAAATCCAAAAAATCCAAACCGTTTTCCAGATCATCGAGGGAGATGGTCAGATGTTGCTTCGCCTGGCGATTTGCAGGCTTGGCAGATCTCTAGTGATGGCTTGCAATGAATAAATATGTTTTCTCCTTGTGACATTTGCAGGTAAAAACCTCGAGCATAAGTTTCTGGATGATGCCCTGCCAAATCCTTCAAGCCTTTCACATGCTCTGGTATGTAATTCAGCAGGTGGCATCGGAAGCAAGGCAGTTGTAGGAGATTCTACAGGAAACTTGCCAAATACTCACCAAGAGCAAGGATTTCCTGCAGAATGTCCTGAAGCTGACTTCTTGGACATTCTCTTCAAACTCTGAACCGCTGACTGCAGACTGCCAGGGACAGGGATAAAGGGGTGTGTTGGCTCCAATTTGGCATCTATTTTTCGGTTGGTTGGTTGGTTGGTTTGGGGGGGGTGGGAATCTATAGCTGTCCTGAAAGGGGTGGGCATTAGATGGCGGTTTCAGATTTGTTCTTGTCATTTGCTGCGCTCGCGCAGGGCGCCGACACGACTGGGCAAGGCGCGAGGGACCTTGCAAGCCTGCTACCCCTCAAGAGAATTGGGTACAGAATCCACGATATATTGGGTAGATATCTCAATTTCGGCTGGAAACACTTGGGGGGAAGTGGAAACCTTCTTGGATTCCTGTTGCGTCGAGAGTATGGTTGGATTTTAGGAGGGTGCCAGGGGCGCGTGACGGATGGTATTGGGAGATGAGAAGACTACTCCGCTGCAAATCAACAGAAGGCCCCCGGAAAAAGGGTTCGATGCCAAAAGGAGACAGGGTGTGTAGGCTATGCTTGTCAATTTTGCTGGGCGTTCTTGTTGGATTTGGCAAGGCCACTGTTTGTCCGATTCTCGACCCCAGCACAGGCTGTACTTGTTGGATCTAGGTGAATCCTTGTCGAGTCATCTTTGGCGACCATACTTGTTGGAACGGAGAGCGCACACCGAAAGCGGAAGTGAGGCGAAAGAAACGCCACAAGAGGGACCAAGGCACCTTCTCAACATGCCACCTGTAGTTGATCAGGATACTTGTGAAAAGCGGAGAACTTTGGTCCAGGGCATATACTTGAATAGGGTATATGCAGTGCCGCAATCCTTGAGTTGTGGCCCACATCAATGTTTCACTAGGCATGGCACGCTGCAAAATGGACACCTCTGTGGCTCATCCAATCTTAACCCCTCCTCCGCAAGATGATGACTTGACTTTTGGCCCCCCCCCCCGGGACAAATAGGAACAAGAAGCAGGATTCCTACTGCTTCTTTTCAGAGGCAAACACCACGCAACATGAACGACAGTCGCAGGACAATCTTTGATTTGCACTTGTGGGAATCCGTAGTGCCGTCGAAACCTGGTTAACCCTGATTACGTTACTGCAAGTGCTGAGCAAGGCTGTGCCTGGTTGCTTTCCAACAGGTTGATTGGTTTACTCCCACCTTCAAGCCACCCCCCATCCAAGGGTACCTATGGTATTCTCATGACAGATCCAAATTTTCTTGGGCTTGTGGGATGGGAGAGCGCAAGCCAGGCCCTCGCTCGGCGGCGCAGGAAGCAGAGGATCCGGCCAGGGACCCACGTTCGGGCGGATCGCGTGCACTTGCAGAAGGCCCGAAAAAACCAGACCTCCAGTTGCTTCGCCGCTTCCTTTTTTGGAAGGGGGTTTCCCTTTAAAGCTTAAAGTCAACTGCCTAAAAGAGGAGTGCACATTTGTGCATGGCTGGGGGGGTCAAGAGGATATGATCTTCCAAGGGTTCAAACGCGTCCATGTTGGGTGAGGGTCCAGCAGCACATGGGTAACGAACAAAATGATTGGCGGGCTGCGACTTTTGGGGGCTGGCTGCTTGTCGAGGAAGGT